TTATAACGTAAAGATATAATTGACAGTTGGTAGGAAGATGATTACACTAAACAGGCCGCCAATTGTTTTCAGATAACGTATTATCTCGTCACATTATGGTATTTGGTAAGTGACGTTTTAGTACAATTTTAAAGAAACGTGTCCAATATCATTCAAAACAGTGATTTGGATTGTTTTGTCTAAAAATCTTTCAAAAAGTATAATCCGACGACTAAATAAAATAAATTAATACAAGAAATAGAATAGTTTTATCAACAGCAGAATATTAGTTTGGTTCTCTTTTGTGATTACTACGTGAAATGAAAACAGTATTTAGGTTGGAAATTAAAGGACAATCGCGATCTCGCAACTACGGGAAAGTGAACTGGCCTGAGTGACCCGACACCTCAATAACTGGAATGGCCTGTTGATGTGAAATAAAAATCTAAGAAATTTCAGATTAAGTCCATTCGTAGAAACGTGCGAGGGGATTAACGGGACACCCCTGTATTCTGTTCCCTAATATTTCCTTTAAAGTTCCCAGTACTGACTGTTATGGGTTTGTTTATATTAAACAATCGGCCAAATACTTTGCACCAGATGTCCACGTCTACATTTTACAACATGCATTTCGTTAACCTTTCCCAGTAATAATTAGTGGTTCGTTCCTGATTTTTTAATAATGAGGCATATTGTGCTATTGTTCTAAATACATACGAGAGATATTCAAAAAGGCAAAAAGAAAGAAAAAAGTTTTGAGGTAATAATAAGCCTATATTTTAATCAGGAAAGTGTTATCATCATGCCAAATTTCAGCCTAATCCCGATGTGCCCAATGAATTGTTATTGAGTGATTGAACCCCAAACAAACACACAAATATTCATTTGTTGAATCAGGCCGTAACTTGAAAAATTAGCTCGCTTTCTTGTCCGGTACAAATTTTGAAATCAATTTTATACTAACTTCCCGACGAGCTAGAGACTTGAAACTTGAAACATAGCCCACAAATGGAAGACAATGCAATATTATATCATTTAATTTTCATATTTCCTTTGGGCTACGCCCCATGGGCTTGTTTTTATTAAATCGCTTTCTTGCAAATTTTGATACTTCCCGATGAGCTAGAGACTTGAAATTTGAAACATAGCTCATAAATGGAAGACAATGCAATATTATATCATTTAATTTTCATATTTCCTTTGGACTACGCCCCATGGGCTTGTTTTTATTAGCTCGCTTTCCTACAAATTTTGATATCAATTTTAAACGAAGTTCCCGATGAGCTAGAGATTTGAAACTTGAAACATAGCTCAAAAATGGATGACAATGCAATATTATATCATTTAATTTTCATATTTACCTTGGGCTACGCCCCTTTGGCTTCAAAATTTACATTAAACACATTTACACACATTTTACATTTTAAAAGAATGTAAACATATCAATTAATTTAAGTCAGCTGTAAATACTTAAATTTGACAGTTAGAAGAACAGAGGTTAAGAGGTACAGGTTCTGCTCCCGAGATATTCTAAAAATACATATAAAACAATCATTTTAAAGTAAAGATAAAACATCTGATTACAGATAATAAGGTTTTGGGTTTTAGTTATGTAAAATAGATTTAACATATTATTTACACATTAAAGACTAAAAACTAGATAATAATTTATAAATAAAAATACTTTTTAAAAATGCCACGTTTTTAAACGCACTAAAAAGTATGAAATAATTTATTCAATTTTGAGAGAATAAATACTTGTAAGATTTAAAAAGAAAAACGTGGGGCGCATGCAATAGATTATAATAGTTCAATAGGTGAAGTTAATTGTAAATCAGCATGCGCCCCACGTTTTTCGTTTTAAATCTTACAAGTATTTTTATTCTCTCAAAATTGAATAAATTATTTCATACTTTTTAGTGCGTTTAAAAACGTGGAATTTTTAAAAAGTATTTTTATTTATAAATTATTTAACATCCAAATGTAATATTATTTCGCCTAACAGCGTTGATAAGCTATTAAACGGAGGCAAATGGTACCAAAAGTCATTATCTTGCAAAAAAAGTTTTTTTCAAACAAAAATCAGGTTAACAAAAATAAAGGACTTTGGCTTTGACTTTTTCAGGTTATAATCCTAAGTCAAATTTGTATCTAATCGTATAATGAAACTACTTGCATAATTAAGGTTTAAATGAATCAGTAATATTGTTTTAACCTATGTAGATACGATATACTGCACATTGTGAAAATTGTTTAGTCGAGGATACATTACACATAAACATCATCATTATTTAAATATTTAATTGGCCAACACAAATGTTGTGATTATTGTTTTGAAACTGCTACACATCCGATCATCAAGTTTAGGGTGTCGTTGGATAGGTCGTGACATGTAAATTTGTCATAAAACAAAACACATTTGAAATTCCATCAGGGCTCTGCCCCAGTGGCCTTCAGCCAATTGAAAGCGTCAATATACGTGATTCAATTTATTTCATATCACGGACGATTACTTAATATCAAACATTAGAAATGACAAAATAAATGTAAAAATAAACGGTATCAGCATTCTGAAACATACTTTCTCTCATTAGCTTGTTAACATCCTATATCATGGGACAGTGGTGATAGTATATAGTTCAAAATCACAAAAGCTGAAATAACTTTTGGACCATAATTGTTACAGCAATGGGGTGTTGTACTATTTTTTTTAAACATCATTTGTTTATGTTTATAATTCATACCGGGTCTCTTCTAGTATATTCGTGGTCTAATCACGGAATACCGATAATTTCACCCGAATTACCTTTTGAATTCAAGTGAATACAATTTTCTTTGCGTCTTGCTTTCGCAATCACCATTATAAAATGGCACAAGACTGTGCCTGACGCTGAATTTTTATTTCAGGATTAGTGTTGCCTACAGTATTATTTTGAGGCTTCTGATTGGCTGAGGGAACATCATTACCGCGACGATACGGTATATGCCAACGGCCTCGGTGGTGAAGTGGATAGAGTGCTGGGCTGATGATCCGAAGAACCCGGGTTCGAATCCCAGCCGTAGCTCTATTTTTTTGTATTGGATTTTTTCATTATCAACAAGTTTGGTTGGTTTGGTTAGGTTATGATGGTTTAATTTTATAATTAAAACATTATGAAATTGAATTTGACCCATTTATAGTTTTATTTTATGAACAGAAATATTTTTTTCGGTTAAGCCTTCATTTGATTTTTCATTATTAGCAAGTCTGGTTAGTTTGGTTAGGTTATGATAGTTTAATTTTAGAATAAAAAATTATAAAATAGGATTTGAGGCATTTATAATTTTATTTTATGAACAGAAATATTTTTTCGATTAATAAACCTTCATTAGATTTTTTTCATTGTCAGCACGTTTGGTTGGTTTGGTTAGGTTATGACGGTTTAATTTCATAATAAAAAAACATATAATTGATTTTGAAGCATTTATAATTATTTTATTCTATGAACAAAAATAATTTTTCAATTACTAAACCTTCGTTATAGTCAATCAGAAGCCTCTAAATGATACTGTTGGCAAAATTAATCCTGAAAAACAAATTGTGCATCCCTGACTATCGCCGGTTTAAATGTATAAAATGCATGCTTTTCACACGTATGTTGCGTGCGCACATGGTGGTAGGTGCGCATAAAAACTTATATATTTATACGCCTAATGAAAAAAAAATGTTTATTCACTGGCAATTAAGTAAAATAACTATTCTATTTTTGTTTTTGGTATACGTTTTTATCATCTCATATTAATTACGCGAGGACTGTGTTTTGTGAACACTACTCTTCCCTTATTTGTGGACAAATTTCAACGTTTAAGGTGTTAGTGTTAAAGGATTCGGACCAATTCGTAGTTTTGGATTAAGGTTTTAGAATTTAAAAGTTCTTACCCTTAAGGGCGTGAGACCCTTTCAAATGTCGGGTTTTCACCATGTTAATAATTGTATTACCTATCAATCTTTCATCCGAATATAAACTAAAATGTCCACAAATGCTATTTAAGAGTTAGGTACAGTACATTAACTTTCTCTAAATTAACTGAATCAAAGTACAATATATTTAATGCTACAGAATATAAATCCAACCGATTTATTTATTGATAAATCCAACCGCGAGGTGGTGGGTTGTCGAGGTGGCACGTTGTCACCTATGAGCGAGGTGGCGCGTTGACGGCACCGAACACTGAGCGTACACGTCAACCCGCCACCTCGTAAAAGAGTGGTGGTGGGTTGACGGGGTGGCACGTTGTCACCTACGTACGAGGTGGCGGGTTGCCGACATCGAACATGGAGCTTCACGACAACCCGCCACCTCTGATAAAAACTGGTGTTGGCGGGTTGTCGTGGTGGCATGTTGTCGTGGTGGGTCATTGACTTGAGTGTGTACGACAACCCGCCACCTCGGAAAATTGTGTGGTGGTGGGTTGTCGTGGTGGCCTGTTGTCGAGGTGGCGGGTTGACCTGTACGTACACGTCAACCCACCACCTTGGTTTTTTTTTGTGGTGGCGGGTTGACGCCTCTGACCAAAACACCGAGGTGGCGGTTTGACATGGTGGCGCATTGACAGCGACCCGTAAGAGCACTAACGATGGGAGTTGAAGCACTAACCAGCACTAACGAAGCACTAACCATTATTTAATACTAGTTTTATTGTTAGTGCTTTTATGGGGGGGGGGGGTAACTTCACGGACCTCTTAAAATTGCAATACAGTAGTTTACTTCCACCTCCACCATGACAGCCGGTGCCGGTGAGCCAGAGCCGATACTAAAAAGTCGATGTCTGTCATCCGGTAGGAAACAAGCTCGATATTTAACAGAATGCCTACCATATCGTTGTGAACCCAGCGCTATCCTAAATATACCTATAGAGTACATTACTTGGAGGTCTTTGGCGATCAGCTAGCTAGAGAACAGGGACACCTTATCTCTTTGCATTGCATCTGACAACAATGGAACAGACCGAACAGGGGAACAGGAACAGAAATTAGTATTGCAATCATTGCAATCTGCTGCTGGCTGGGGCCGCCATGTTTGTTTTTGTGTGGTGTTTGTGCTTTGTGGTGTTGGATTATAAATGATAAGAAAACACTGAGTGTTCATTGTTTTGTTGTGGTTTTGCTAAAAACTAACTATTTATTTAAGTGGCAATGGTGTTCTTTGCAAATACAATGTTGAATTTGTCTCAAATGCCAGACAACCTTAGAACTTGGCTTTGTTCTTATGTTTGGTAGGGGAGTCGGGAGGTCATAAACCCCTAGATTGTACTTTTGTGTAACCCTATCTGTGTGGGTCAAGGTAGACCCTGGGCAATTTTCACTCGCGTATTTTTTATTTATAGAGCTGGCGGGCAACTTGCCTGCAAATCCAGAGGTCGCCGAAGACCCTGGAATGTTGGATATTTGGGGGGGTGAAGAAAATGACATTAATGATAATCTGTCATTTGAAGATTCTGATAGGTTTGAAGAAGATTCTCTTTGTAGTTGGAGTAGTGAACCTGAATCAGTGTGTAACAACTGGAGAGGATGGAAGAAGCCTTCCTTAAGCTCAACTACTGTTTATGGACCATCAAAGAAAGCTTCAGATGGTAAGTTAAGACTTAAAGGCCCAAGAGGTGTTATGGCTAAATGATGTCAGGACCTAGGCCTAGACTCCTGGCCAGGCCAACTTAACCTGATGTTTGTCAATCACATAGGTAGGCCTACACTGCCCTGCTAATAAAGAAGGCAGTAAGTGCAAAATTTTTGATTTTCAGATTTTGTTGTAATTTAAGGTTTTTGGGGTCAGGGATTCTGAAAAACACACTTAAAAAGCCGCATCTACAACCGTTTCTGAGATATGGCAGGTGTATATTGCAGTATATACATCATTTTTCAACAAAAACTAAGCTAAAAGGCAGTATCTATAAAAGCTAAGCAAGAAAGGCAGTATCTGCGATGTAGATACTGCCTTTATGCTTAGTGATGTACATCACGTACTGCCTTTTGCTTAGCATTATGGGTACAAATGAGGAACTAAAAGCAGTTTTTACCAGCTGAGATTATGTTGTTGTGTTTGTGTTTACACTGTTGTTTGTAAATATGAAAATGGCTAGTAGTAGTTAGATACTGCTTTTTAGCTTAGGGTCCTCCTATTAGCACTTACTAGCTAAACAAAATGGCAGTATGAGCAGATGCTGCCTTTTGGCTTAGCATGAACACAAATATTTCTAAGGACAAAAGCAGTATGTGCATTTTTATATTGATCCAGTTTAAAAAAATTATTTTTTATAGTGTCAATTGAATATTTAGGCCTAAGCATTACCGAAGATAACAAAAAATATTAGTTTAGTCTTCACATGTGTTAGGGCAATGGCGGCAAAGTTGAGGTCATTTTCTGAAAATATTCACTTTTGCACATACTGCCTTCTTTCTTAGCAGGGCAGTACAGGTCTCACGGTAATTATTTGCTATTTCTACAATGCGATATCTTGTAATTTTTAGATGTCTACTTAAGTTACCTACGGTATTTTTCACACTGAATCCAAAAATGTCAGTTTTTGTCGGAGAGATTCCTAAGTGGCCGTACAGTAAAATAATGAATATTAATCTTCAGTTTTGTTGATTTATTAAGATATTTGTCGTATGGACGAGTCCAAGTTCTAGTGGCGACTAACACTTAAAGGGGTGGAAGGTTTGTGGAGTGGAAACAGCTGTCAGTTATTTACATTCGAAACTAAACAGACAAAACCACACACGACGCCATGAGAGCAAAATCAGAGTTACAATATGCAATAACTAAATTTTTGGTATTTATTCCGTACAGGTGCCTCCAAACGAATTTTTAATTTTGATATCTTACTTTATAGTTTTTTACCTCCTGAATCCAAATATACCATTAATTTTCACCGCTGATGAATATTTCTCAAGATATCGCCGTAAAAACATAGGCCTACCTACCTGAGAAAAACACTTCAAATTACTATTTAAAAAATGCTTGCATTTTTGAAATAGTAATTTGAAGTGTTTTTTTCTGGATTTTAATTTTACAAAAACAGTCTGCAGGCGACATAAACGAACAACTCGATACATTATAACCTAAACTTTAACTTACCTAATCTAACCTACCTTCAAAGGACTTAATGCAGTCACCAATTCACATAAAGCACGACCTATCACCCTGACATGCCTTTTCTGACATCAAAAGGAGTTTGCTTACACATTCTAGAGGTTTGGTTAGGTTAGGTTATGTTAGAATAGCACCATTTTAGTATGTAATTTCTAAACGGCGAAATATAAATCAATAAATCATTAATAAGGATAAAATACTGGAAACAATAATACATTATTAACTTATTGGTCTTAGAAAGTGAAAAGTGTAACTTAATCAGGTGATTTTCATATTGCAGAATCAGAGTTAGCTAATAAAAGTTGTCACTTCCATTTGCTTGACTATGATTGAAAACAATCAGCTGGTTGGTTTACTTAACCCATCGTACATTCCACTTGTAAATGTCATCCATCCTACCTTGTTTATTGTAATGTTAAGTATGTTTTTATGGCGATATCTTGAGAAATATTCATCAGCGGTGAAAATTAATGGTATATTTGGATTCAGGAGGTAAAAAACTATAAAGTAAGATATCAAAATTAAAAATTCGTTTGGAGGCACCTGTACGGAATAATTACCAAATTTTTAAAAGAAAATGGACTTTGGTGCTGTCTAGAAAATACAGTAAATCAACTATGATATATAAACTAATAATCACGTGAACATACCTAAATTATAATGACAGTTGTTCAAAGATTAATTTAATTTGCATTGCTATTATACGCTTACCGGTACCTACTCCTCAGCGGGCACAGCCCTAGGAATCGGAAGAAAATTGTTAACGTAAGCATAGGTCGATATGCACATCAAATTAAAGGTCTTCACTAGTAGATTACAATGCCGTAAATTCAAGCTCAAAAGAACGCCTGAGTAAAAAATGGCAGTCGTTCAAAGATTCAAAATGGCGGATTCAAGAAATCTTTGAGCAGCCGCCATTTTGCGCAGGATCAACCTTTTGAAGTGCGGTTTGCGGCATTGTATTCTACTAAAAAAGACCTTTCATTTGATGTGCATATTGACCTAGAGATGCTCCTATTAAGATACCTACTAAGATTTCCTTCTGACTCCATGATATGACAGAAAATTCATAGTTCCTTGAAAAAGTAGATTTATAGGTGTGGTGTTGATGTACCGTACCAAATCTTATTGATTTATCTGTTGTCGTTTAGAAAATATTAAGCCCGTGCGGGACTTTATATACACCCTGTATAATAATCCATAGTTATGTTGCTATTTCTAATTTTTATGATGGTTTGAAAATGATATTACATAATCATTAATATCCCTATACCAGTACAGCGTTACACTTGTGCCAGCTCTAGGGTTAACTAACCTAACCTAATATAATCTAACTTAATATAACTTCAACCTAACCTAACCCAACCTAATCTAATCTAACTTAACTTAATCTAACCTAACATAACCCAACCTTATCTAATCCAACCCAACCCAACCCAACTTAACCTAACCTAATCTAACCTAACCTAACCCAACTTAATCTAATCTGACCTAATCTAACTTAACCTAACCTAACCTAACCCAACCTAATCTAACTTAACTTAACCTAACCTAACCTAACATAACATAAAAATCCATAAAAAGGATAAAAGGCTTTTCGAGGGCTTAAAATCGCCGATTTCTAAAGCTTTTCTCGATTTTGAAACATGATTTTCATAGTGAAATAGGCGTTTCCCCTTAAAGAGCCAAAAAAATTGCTCAAATAGCCTAATTTTGGTATAAGGTAAAAAAATTCAATATATCATAAGTAGTACAAGTTCAGTATTGCCTCCTGAGGCTTTCACCAATCATGTATTTAGGCTTATAAGTCCCTAATTCCAAAATTTAGTCAAATACCTTGTGCCGGGTTTTGAGATAAATATTGCAAACCCACAACTCCACATCAAGGGTCGCAAGGACCGTTCCAGTTATCCCTTATCTTTACCCCATATCTGTCTTATCTCCAAAACTACAGACTGCGCACTGATGGAGGGTTTCATGTCCCTCCTATGCCTAATCTGATGAAGAATGAGCAATCGTACACTTGTTTGTACACCCGATCCATTTTCTGCAGCGCACTGTTCAGCGACAGGTCGTCTGAGGTTGGTGGGAGTAGGCTTGTTGGAAAGCTTATACAGTGCCATTTTTTGTGGACATAGAGCAGTGGTCGTATGAGCTACGTGCGGTTGTTATCGAGTCGTTTAAAAAAGTTATGATTTAGTCAGTGCAACTCAGCGGCAGTTCCGTGCTTTTATTCAATTAGGTCGACATAGAGAGGTTCCGTCGTGATTATCTGTATGGATGATTACCAAATTATACAGATTATTATTCTAATCTACAAGGATGAAAATTAACCTCAAAATTCGTATAACTGAGCGGTCAGACATGTTCAAAGCAGCCGCTTGTTTTCGGGCTGGCCTACGAGTACTGTTTTCACAGCAGCACAAACTATATCGAATGTTTGTTGTCTGGCGTCCGATCTCACTTTGGAAGGCCTGTCAGCTTCCTTTTCAACGCAGAAGCCGTTGTTCTAATGTAAGTAACCCAATGCATTATTGTCCTACGGAACGGAACTTCTCCATGCTGCCTTAATTGAAAGAATGCATGAAACTGCCGCTAAATAGCAAGAATGAATTCACTATTTTATAAAAACGACTCTATAACAACCACACTAGCTCAGGCGATCACTGCTCTATGACTACAAAAATGGCATTGTGTAGGCTTTCCAACGAGCATACTCCCACCACACTCGGACGACCTGTCGCTGAACAGGGCTCTGCAGAAAATAGATCGGTTTTTTGCCGCACCCTGTATAAGTGAACCAAGGCCACAATAAATAAACAGGCCGTAATGTTCTTCTGGCATGACGTAATCATAGGCGACGGCAATGACGTAATGTTTATATTCTTTGTTATATTTTTGTTTTCCAAGAAATGATTAAAACAACCAGCTGATCACTAACGGCAAACATTACCATACGTCATTGCCGTCGCCTATGATTACGTCATGCCAGAGGAGCATTACGGTCTGTTTATTTAGTAGGTAGCACCAGTAGTTGACAATTTAAGGATGGAAATACGATCATAAAATTCTCAAGTTTGAAAATTAATGGAATTTAGAAAACAGTTTGAAATATAAATAAACATTAGACTTTGTACATTACACTAATGTATACATTTTTATTAATTAACAAAATAATGAATTTTTATTAATGTTTTAACAGTTTGCTCATGTAGGTAGCCTACCAGTAATTTGAATGTGAATTTTTTGATTTTACCGATAGTTGACACCCAGCGTACCAGTTGTTGACACTTTGATTCTTTTAACATACTTAGTCTGCTAGTTTTCTGCGGTCCAAAATGGCCTCCGGGCAAAAACCTAGGTCCCGGGCCTAGGTCTTATCGTGCCACCTATTGTAATAGCTACTCCCTATAGGAAAATTTGCTAAAACATGATGCATACTGTATCAATATAATTTTTCTAGTAAAAGAAAAAGTAGCCTAAACCTCTATATTGCTTTAGTATTAACTTCTTTAGAACCAAGAGACTGTAAATAACACTAAACAATGCATGATTCATATAAAAACCAAACTATATCTCCAAAAACCTGTTCATTTGACTCACAAACAATAGTTCAATTTCATTTAAGTTTCTCATGTACACATCCTAAGTTTTTACTTGAGGAAGTATTGATTAACCTAGAATCAAATATCAGGATAAGTATTGATTAACCAAGAAGCAAATATCAGGTCCATGACCGTTGACATAAAAATTATAAAGGGAAAAAAGTCCAGCTGATATATTAGGTTAGACTACCGGACTAGAGAAAGTTTAGTCACTGACTTTCACTGATTTTCAAGGAGACTCGTACTTTCACTGTCACTTTCATTGTTGCTACTCAGTCCAGAGGCTGCCTTAACTAACTTATACTCTTCAACAGTGGGTGTTGAGATAAAACTCATTTAATCTCTTTTAGACTATGAAACGTAAAAATAACAAACACTTCATGGTTCTATGCAATGTACAAACAAAACTGTAATTTTATTTATAGATTAGCCTAAATAAAGAATTAAACATTTATCACCTATCAACGTTAAAGAAGTGGGTGTTGTTTACATCGATCTTACAAAAGAAATATCATTAGCATTTGATTCAAATAAAGTACAAGAATAACATCTAAACACTTATTTTTTATTATTTTTTTTTTATTTCACTAACCTTGTATGTAATTACAATGCAAAGAACAACAATAATTTTATAGTACATTGAATCTATAACTACAGAAAAAGAGACATGTTACAATGCATTTTTTAAATATTACTACTGAATAATCTTGTTTTTAAGAAATTTTTTTGGCATTTAGAATATAGGCTACCTAATGGAAGTGATTAAACCCCGTAACCAACAAAATCCTCCCCAGTACTTGGTCAACTTGCTAACTCTACTTAAAAATTAATACCAGGCATTTCAAAAAAATTCTTTACAGAATAGAAGGGGTTGTTCAAAAGCCATTTGTAGAAGTTACTAGCTGTTACCCACGGGCTTCACCCCGTTAGACTTCATAAGTATCTATATATATAATACACTCTCTAATTTTTAGACCGATTTTGATGATTAAAGTGTTAAAAAAATGGCCCTGATCTGTAGTTTTTCTAAGGGGGATTGCCCAACTCCGCGCAGTGGTCAAATTTAATCCGAGGAAAAGTTGTATGGCCCCCGAAGGGTTCAGCCCAACTCCGCGCGGTGGCCAAACTCCTAATGTCTACGATAGTTGTTTTGGTAAAGTTTTTACCAAAACAAAGGCTACAGCACATTTGCATGGACGTGAGTTGAAGTTTCCAAAAAGTTTGCTGCTGTTATTGCAATAATACCCCAATAATAAGTGTTAATAAGTGTTTTTGTGAAATGTTAATAGTTAAGTGTAAAATAAATGCATTTCCAAATGTAATCAAAATACACTCCTTTTACAGGAAATTACAACAGTTTACTTATTCTCCATAAGAATAACATGGGAATTATAAAAGTAAAATTTGTTGGCATTTTTTCTGTAACTATTATGGCCCATAATAACACTTCGATGTACTAAATTATTTGTCTTTAAGCTCTACAAATTGCTTTCAAAAGAAATTGCAAAAATTTATGCTTTTAGGGTCAAAGTTGGAAAAACTTGATTTTTTTCACCATAAACCCCAGTTTTCATGGTCCGATCGTGATGGTTCCGTGAACTCGTTCAAATAAATATAGGTTTAACGTTCATACCAAATTAATTTTTGCTCGAATTATCGTGCTAACGGACATATATATATAGGAATTCGAACGGATGGTTTTTTCGGCCTTTGGGACATAAAAACAAAAAATTTAACCAGTGGGTCCAGGTCTTACCATAATACCTACGGTGATAACTTATTCCCTATATGGGAAATTCGCTAAAACGTTGGTCTGGGTCTGGTTTCAATGAAAATCCTCTTCATCGACGTCAAATTCGCTATTTAATAAGACGTAAAAGAAATATTTTAGCTTAACATACAAGTAAAATTATAGATTCACAACTGGAGGTGAAACTTAAAAACCACTATGTAAGAAGTTCAAAAAGTCCGTGCGAAGAGTGAATACGTATGAAAGTTTCTGAAATTCACAGTTCACAATTATTTAATAATACATTTTATTAACAATTTCATGAGCTTTACGTTACACTTGTGTGCTGCCATCACGGATTTTACCTTTTTATGCAGCAACATACTGCAAATGTGCTGTAACCTCTTTTTTTGTAAAAAAAAAGTTTGCTCTGCATCTAAAAGTGGCTACAATGGACTTTTTAATGAATAACAAAACTTAATAATCTCTTCCAACAACATTTAACAAAGGAAACATTTTAAAATTCTTTTTGTAATCAAATTTAAAGTATTAAGTTTGTTTTTGAGGTTTGCCAATAATGTGATTTAGTTTTTCTGGAAAATTAATAAGATATTACTTACCGGTACTGTGATCTTTAAAATATTTACGATTGTAAAATGTTTACTAAGGTTAATATTGCTTTGCATTTTAAAGATTATATAATTATTGTTTAACTACAGTATATAATTTAAATTTATTATGGTTTGAAATAAGTGTAACTTTTGTAAATTTGTAAATATTTTACTTATACAATTTTAGTAGGCTAATAATTTGTATTTTATTTTTAATCCAGATATTTCAATGGATTGTTCTTTTTTTTGGTTTTGTTTTGTAAATAATATACACGATGTTTATTTTAACGATGATTAATTTTATGTAAATCTGTGTTATATGATTCTTATTAATGTTTGATAAAAACCACCAATTTTGGCTCACTTGCCCTGGAATTTTGAACATTTTGTACGTAGAGTAATTAAATATAAAGTCAATTTTGAAGTCTGAAGTTTTATTAAAATTCCTATACTGCTTTACATATTGATATAATTTTGTATTGCAAGTCATAAAAAACATAGAATTGGTATTTGCTAAACTTAATCTTCTTAATAGGTATTTTAGCTATTGCAACGGCTAAATTAATATTATAGAATTATTATTCTAATTTCTAAAATAATAGTAATTAATAACCACTAATCTAAATAAAAATAATGCCAATAATTTAAAATAATATGTAAATGTATAAATATCATATCCACTTCAAAAAATTAGTAATTACCATCAACCGCTGGCAAAATGTACTGTAGAATGTCGTTTTTAAAGGTGTTGCCTAAGATTTGACTCAGTCGACATAACTAAATGATTGTCCACACATATATCACAACGAATATCTTTTCTTTCATCATTCATTACGCTAAAATTGCTCCACAAATAACTATATGTTTACTTTCTTGCACAAGTAATTTTAAGAAAAGTAATCACAATAATCTAACCACAGTTAATAATAATAAACAAAGACTAAGGCTTCACTACATGCAAATACTAAAAACTGATATACCTAACTTATGAACTTTAGAATTGAATCAGTGGTGTATAGTTATCGTGAGAATCAGCTTAAAACGAAAGTGTAAATGCATAAATTAACTCAGGATTGGTAGCAAACACATATTTCCTGTGGGACTTCCTCTCTCCATGCCATTCCCACGGCACAACAATTTCTTTTTTACCATTCGGCAATGTTGCCGTAACACAGGTGTCCGTCAGTTATTTGCGGCAACGTGTTTAGTAATATTTGGTTATTTCAAGTCCCACTCAACAACTAACAACTGTAATCTAGCTGTCAACAACATTTTTGTCAAAACTATTATGGTTTTTCAAAAACGGCATTCTGCGTATCTGCCCGCTGCCAGGCCAACTGTCGAGCCGAGGCGTTGTCGCAACGAAACTCAAAAGAGTACTTTAATAACAGGGAGATCACCGCAACAGGTTAACCTAACAACAGTTATCGCATGACAACCCTGTTATGTTATATACCGGGCCGTAACACGCCGTAACACGTTTTGGGGACTAAAAATGCTACTTTAGACCCGTAAAGCATGCATTAATTAAAAACGGCTGTTTTTGCTGCAGTATGACGAAAAAGCGTTTTACTTTCTAGGGAGTAAAAGAGCTACTTAGCCACACAACATTCAACACATTTATTAAATACAGCTTTTTTTGCTGCAGTAGGTATGACAAAACAAATGTTATTGTGTAGGTATTGGTTTTTAAGAATATATTGTGTAAATGAAATGTTTTTTTTTATATTTAACAATTATTAATATCCTACATGTTACAAATTTGACTAGGCCTATGCAATTTTTGGTAGGCCTAGTTTATTTATATTTATTTGTTTAGCTGGTTCATTGTGTTGTTGCACAGATACTGACCGAGTTTCACCGCTGTGTGAGCTCACCGCACGCTGTGTTGCGTCTCACATCCCGTTCGAGCTGGTGGAGCATGTGTACCCTCCAGTGCCGGAACAGCTGCAGCTGCGTATCGCTTATTGGAGTTTCCCTGACAATGAGGAAGACATTCGCCTCTACTCTTGTCTCGCCAACTCTAGCTCTGATGAGTTCCAGAGAGGAGAACACCTTTATCGCTCCCGCGCTGTCAAAGACCCCTTGCAAATTGGTGAGTATAAATTCAAATTAGTTTCTTATTACAGAAGAACCTCTCTTAACTGAAATAAAGAAGGAAAGTTGCTTTGGCACTCAAAGGGTTAAAGTTTTTTACTACGTCCATACACCAGTGCCATTTAATGACGTTTTTCAAAAGGCCCAAACTCTTGTCTTGTTACTATCTATCGTCGACCTGTTGTTAAAAACCTTCATTAATTGATAGTCATGATTAGTGATGCAAGACAAATGGCATCTGGGTCTGGTCAAGTTTTTTCTTGTCTATGTGTAGGATTTATTTTCTGAAATTAACTGGTCTTTTTGCATTGTTTTCTTGTAAAAAACTGTTCAGTTTAGTGCAATGGCTATAATCTTAACATGTGTAGATCAACCTTGTCAAACTTCAACATTAAAAATTGAAAATATTCTTGTTAGTGAATTTCCCATACTGTATAGGGAATAAACTATTACCTTAGTTACTCATGGTAAGACTTGGACCCGGGACCGATTTACTTTTTTGTTTTGAGGTACCCAGAGGCCAAAAACACCATCTGTTCTAATTCATATATATATACAGGGTGTCCGGTCATAAGTGTTAAATAAAATTTTGCAGCAATCTACATGGTAATGGCGACATAATGACGCACATTTGAGGTTCCCAACTTCAATTGTTAGAGAATAACAAATAAATTAAGATTTTTCATAAATTATTGTAGTTGTTATGAAAAAGGTTATATTATTCTGTTAAAAATGCACTAATCGTTAATTTTAATACCATTTTCAGAATCCTCAGAAAATTTTAAATATATATAACACATAACCGTTGGGGTATGGAAAATATTCTACTTGAATTTCTTCGTTAAACAAATTATTTTTAATATTGACGAAAATTTAAATAACATTCAGCAATTTATTTCTCGGTTCCGCTGAGTTGATCAAATATTAATAAAAACTTCCTTATTTAAAGGGCTTTACAATGGTGTATAATAGTTTTTACCTAATTTCAAATTTCCTAATGTAATTCAATCATTATTGTGAACAAACATTGTAGGGCAAAGGAAAGCTATTGCGTAGAATAATACATTTAAGTGCAGGCAACAAATAATTTGTATTTTTTTCTCGCATGCAACGCTTTGTTTAAAACTATCAAGCTAAAAAAAGAAACATACAGTAGTAAAATGTGTTTGTGATAAAGTTAAGGTTATCGTAGATTTTTCATATTTCACGTAAGATTTCATTTAACTCTCGGAATTTCTATTTTGTTGAATGGACTTAGTCAATAGATTCAGGTATTTTACTGATAACAATACTTTATCTAAGCGATAAGAAAACAAAGCGTAGTCATATAAAAAAAACTATCAGTCACAGGTGGACAGTGATCGGTCAACTATGTCTTTTTCGATTAGGGAGTATGTTGAAATGCATTTTATTTATGGTTTGTGTAACGGTAATGCGTCGGCTGCTCAGAGAGAGTATCAGGATTGGTATTCTGATCGCAACACCCCCAGTACTCAGGTGTTTACTAGAGTGCATCAACGTTTGCTGTAAACAGGATGGGTTGAGAAGAAGAACCGGCAACCGAGAAATAAAGCTCTGAATGTTATTTACATTTTCGTCGATATAAAAATAATTTGTTTAACAAAGAAATTTAAATAGAATATTTTTCTGTACCCAACTACTTGTGTTATATCTATTTAAAATTTTGTGAGGATTCTGAAAATTATATTGAAATTGACAGTAAGTGTGTTTTTAACAGAGAAATATAAACTTTTTCATAACAACTACAATAATTTTTGAAAACCCTTAATTTATTTGTTATTCTCTAACTGTTGAAGTTGGGAACCTCAAATGTGCGACATTCTGTCACCATTACCATGTAGTTTAATGCAAAATTTTATTTAACACTTATGACCGGACACCGTGTATATATATATATATATATATATACTAGCTGTACCCGCGGGCTTTGCCCCGTTTAACTTCATATGTGAGCTCGTTCGCATGGCTCAATCACGTCCTGGTTGAAGTTCGTTCGCTACGCTCACTCACCTTTAGGTTGGAGCACGTTCGCTGCGCTCACACGTCCTGGGGCCCATTTCATAATAAAGTACAAACTAATATTATTAGTAAATCAGCTGATCGCCCAATGCAAATCTTATGGAAATTACAAGTTACAAGTTGTAACTTGTAACTTGTAGTTTATTATGAAATGGGCCCCTGGTTGAAGTTCGTTCGCTACGCTCACTCACCTTTAAGTTGGAGCTCGTTCGCTGCGCTCTCTTGCCTTCAGGTTAGCTCGTTCGCTACGCTAACTCGCCTCCGGGTTGAAGTTCGTTCGCTTTGCTCACTCACCTTTTGGTTTAAAATTAGCTGTTGTCAAATATTAAAAAAAATAATAGTGCTGCACTCTGTTTGTTCTTGTAACTTTAATGCTATTGAACATCATAGAATAGAACCAACTTGTTTAATTGAAAAAGCTGTTAAGATTCATTAATTCCATTTAAATATGAGTACTCATTAGGTTACCATGGGAAACTCCAGAGCCACTGGGGCGGAGCCCGAGAGTCCGATTAGAATAAAAACCACTTAGTTTTCCTATTTAATGCCTAAAGAATCAGTGTACCAAATTTCAGCCTCCTAGGTAAGTGGGAAGTGGGAGAATTAGTGATGAGTGAGTGAGTGAGTGAGTCAGTCAGTGAGGGCTTTGCCTTTTATATAGGTATAGATAGATAGATAGATATATATAGAGGGTAACTGCTAGTCTATATCTATAAAAGAGGAACTATGTATGTATGTATGTGTGTATGTGTGTATATAAGTTATGTACTCGTAAAACGCTCGACAGATTGTAATGAAACTTTCAGGCATTGTTAAGCATCTTTCAAGGATGGTTCAAGTGAAGTTTGGTGCAGATCCGTCAAAAGGGCTCTGCCCCAGAGGGTTTTAAGTGGGCCAATGTCAGACTTTTTGATCTACAATGTTTACAAATAAATATAATTTAAAAGCAGATGTTTACTTTCACCAACTGTTTTGTAGGTTTGAATAATCACAACATTCTGTATTAGCATTAGTCATGATTTGAAATAGTGCCACAGTGTTTCTACAGAGTGCAGCACAGAAAACTATTTTACTTTTTAATAAGTCCAAATGTATTAAACCCCAATCGCAGCACACCTGTGCACTCAACAACGTTTAAATTTTCCAATTTTAAATATTAAAACCATAAAAACCTTTATCAAAGTATTATAAACAATAAAAGGGATGACAATGCCTTAGTATTTTTTTCTTTCGTTCTCTACCCATACAATCTAACATAAATTATGAAGTGAATAATAATCGTGCGTGCTATCACAGGTATTCATATGCCTCTCAATTTGTCACTAACCCACCACATTACTGTCATTAAAAGAAAAAAAACTCCAATAATACCAATGCAAACTTTATTCAACCGAAGCTGTGCAACAATACCAGACTAACGAAATTACGTCAAAATTGATTAAAGCAAAAATTATCAGTGTTAGGTTTAAGGGAGAAATTGTCTTAATCACAAAAATACTGATGATTTCATCCGAATTACCCTCTGATCTTAAGCAACTACGATTTCCTCAGTGTCTTGCTTTCGCAATCACCATTATAAGGCACTGGGGCAATCCCTGACTATCGTCGGTTTAAATGTAGAAAAAACATGCTTTTCACACAGACAGATGTATTTTGTTAGCGCAGCAACGCGCGCCGGGTAACTGCTAGTAGATTTTTCGCCGAGTAGTGCGCTGCAAATAGAACTATAGAAAATAGTTGTAGTTTTAGTTGATAGTTTTTTTCGCACCCTGTATACATTTATAATTATACATGAATATGAATTTGAACGGATGGTGTTTTTGGCCTCTGGAGACCTCAAAACAAAAAATTAAATCGGTTCCGTGTCCAGGTCTTACCATGAGTACTACGGTAATAGCTTATTCCCTATATGGGAAATTCGCTAAAAAGAGTCGACTATTGAGTATTGTTTAATATTATTCTCATGATTATTAGGGTGGAAAATGCATTACAGTCTTACCATAGACTAACTAACACTAGTAATCTTTACATCCCATTGTAAACTTTGAAGCTAGTTTTTCGTGTCTAGTTCATGTCCGGTGACACTTATCGCTCGACGAAATTGTGTTTCTATTATTTTATATTTAACTTCATGATTTGTTCTTTACTGTTTGGTTATATAACTAGGGGACGTGTTTAAAACCTTTTAATTGGTTAAATGAGGTTTTAAATGGCTGAAAACAAGAAACAATTGTAAACAAAACACGACCTCTAAAGACAGTGCACCGGACAGAACTAACAATACAACTGTCTTCAGCTGATCCATAAGGATGAGAAATGTACTAGTTAATATGGGGGAGTATGTTTTGTATATTGTGATTTTCTTACTTAAAAAGTAGTTTATTGGGATGCAAAAAGATAATACTGTAGGCCTATATTTAATTTGGATCTTTTACATGTTACAAAATAATGTAAATAAAACCGAGAAAAAATTATCCGATTTTGATTAAATTTGATATAAACGTGTAAATCTACATTTATTCTAACGAGTTTGCGAATCAGCATGATCGGACTACGGGAACGTGTGTTTATGGGGTTAAAATTTTGATTTCTCCCATTTTTTACCCTAAAAACATAAAATTTCCAAACTATTTTTGTAGAGCTTAAAAAAACAAATAATTTAGTGTGTCGAAGCGTTATTATGTGCCTAATGGTTACCAATAAAATTAAAAAAAATTGTAATTTTAAAATGTCCATGTTGTTCTTATGGAGAATAAGTAAACTGTTGTAGTTTGCTTGTTTATGAACATATTTTTATCAAATTTGGAAAATGCATTTTATTTCTTACTAAACTACTAACATAAAAACAAATTGCATTACCCTCCCTGTTGCAGCAAACCTAAGTAGGCTACCCGTTAAAATAATTCTATTTAAATAGGGAATAAATGTGATATTTTTAAGGAGACATTTTAGTGTTTA